CTAAAATAAGAGCACTATCTAACTTACGGCTTGTTGTGGGGTTCTAAGTGCTCACTTGGTAACTAACTATTAGCCTCTCTGAAATAATTCATACTGCTAGTCATTGATGACAAAGGATTTCTTCCCCCATGGCCCCCTTTCCTTCATTCAGAATGAGGTTGCTTTTTGTTATTGTTGTTTGTCATTTTGTATTAGTACTTTTAATTGAATGTTTTCCAATTCAAACCTTTTATTGGAAAGACAGATCACTGTCTTCCTTTTAATACTTACTAACACTGATTTTCACTATTTCCTTGAACCTCAGCACAATCTTCTGGCCTCTGTGATCCCATGCTCAGTATAGGCCATCTTACACCTGAATTCCATTTTGCATGCAGTCTGTTAGTTGGGGGGCAATTTGCTTTCCTCTCCCCAACTTCATTCATACCCAAATATATTTCTAAATATCTTATTATGTTCCCAGCTTCAAAATGTCTTTTATATGACCTTTAAAAATATTGTCTATTTGGAAACTCAGGTGCATTCCCTTTGTTGGCTCCTCTATACCCCTGACTTCCCCAGTCTTCCTCAGTCTTCTGTTCCAGCCCAACTTGTTTCCCTTTGGTCATGCATTTTAGCATCTGCATCTTTCCCCAGTCTGTCCTTATGTATGGCACAGGCTTCTCTCTTACTTTGCTATACCATGTCTCTCCTGATTTTTCAAGATACCTCCTCTGAGAAGATCTGTTACAGGTAGAACATTTTACCTGCAAACAGTCCCTAACCAGGTATCTCCTTTCTATTAACTTATTCTTAGATTTACTTAATGGAATAACATAATTTTGGAGCTTATGTCTATCTTAGATATAAGATAGAAATTATTTAGTCTAAATATAGATTTATATATAGTAGATATATCTATATAAGATACAGATATTTAGTCTAATTTCCTCATGTTGCAAATAAGAGAACTGAGGCCCAGGGAGGTCATTACAAGCATTGCATTTAAGTCTATTAAGATTACCTAGAAGGAATGCATGAACAGTAGTGTTTCAAAAGGAAATAATCAATAAAACAAAACTAATGGAATGAGGGAAAATGCTTGATATGGGTGCTTACTCATTTCACTAAATTTTAAAAGCTATAAAATACTAAAGCTCAAGATAAAAAAGAAAATTAAAAAGTAGAGGCCAAAACTACTAGCACAACTTAATTAAAAAAAAAAGAAAGAAAAACAAGTCACACTTTTTTTTTTTTGGCCATTTGGGAAAATCACAATATTTTGCTTGATTACTTTTCCTCGCTTTTCAATGAGTAATACGGATTGCATGAAAAATAAACAAAATAATTAAACTTTATGATTTCATTCCAATGCTTGCTGGTATAGAGGTATAAAAGAACAATCCATGGATTTTGCAATCAAATAAATTTGGGTTTCAATTCCTATGGGCATCAGTTTACTCATTTGTAATATCATGAGTTAATGTAGAAATAAAAGCATCTGGTAACAGACCTTGAGTCATACACATATTTTAATGCAACATTCCCAAGAGGCAATTTAATCAACAAATCTTTCTCTTCTATCTCCCTTAGGAGTGTAAGACATAAATGCAAAGCCTGACATCAATACAGGTCTATAGATCAGTGCCTTTGTCTCTGGGGGGATATTTTGTGCATATCCAGTGAATCCATATGAGCATTAATACAGCAGGCTTCCCTGGAAGAATTTCGAGCACTGCACAGATATTTGAAATATTGTGAGAATTACCAAAATGCAACACAGAGACACGAAGTAAGCAAATGCTGTTGGAAAAATGGCACCAATAGACTTGCTTAACACCAGGTTACCACAAAACTTTGATTTGTAAAAATACACCATGTCTGCGAAACACAATAAAGTGCAATAAAACAAGGTATGCTTCTTTATGACATTCTGGAAAAGGCAACATTTTGTGGAATAGGAAAGGGGTGGGAATATCCAGCTAACAGTAAAGAAATAACACTAATACCTATAATCAGATTGCATTTTCAAGCAGAATTCTCTAATTCGGAAGGGAATTGGAGATACATATAATCCTAATGGCCGTTTTCCCTCGACTTTTCTTCATTTCTTTCTACAGCCAAAATCAGAAAGAAGGTGAATGGTAATACCATGCCCTAATAATTTAACTTGGAAAGAGAGAAAAATCAAGTATTTCTAAAAGTCTATCATAGGGTCAGCTCACAGTTTAGTAGCAATGGACAGACCTTGGCTTGATTCTTGCTCCACTTGTTACTCGGGGTGGGGCTCAAATTTTATAACTTGAACTTTGGTTTCCTCTTACGTGAAGTGGTCCTATTAGTCACGCACCCTCACAGGTACTTAAATATTTGACATAGTACTTGGCATATGCTGAGTGTTTAAAACTTCTAGCTATTATTTTACTCTAAATTTATAGAATACATCGTCATGATGCTCTTGTACTAAAACAATTGATTGATTTTTGTTCTTGGGTTTAAGAAAACCCAGTGGTTCCATAGTTGGTATTTAGTGTGCCCATTCATTTCTTCCTGCATCACTCTGGATCTGTTGTTGACCCTAGGCTTTACTATTAGTTCATCGACGTCTATGGATAAAAAAGAATTTTATATTCAGTTCATTATTTATGTAAAGATAAGGAATCAGCGGCCTCACAGCTGAGTGAGAATCTTAGACATGGCCATCTCAACAAATGTGCTGACAAAGAAGCACCTATGTATTAAGGCTGTTCTCAAGTAGCAATTTGTTTCCATAGCACCTAAGTGGAGAAAGACAAAATTTCCCATTAGTCCCCCGAAGCAGAAAAGCATATGGGCTATATGAATTGTTCTCAGTTTTCAGGTATTTAGCCCTGCTAGCCAGGGTGAACATTCTTTTAACAGTATTAAATTAAAATTAAAATTCCAGGTTTGGGTAAGGAAAGATGATGATATTTTCCAATGTATGTTAAAAGTTGGTTTTAGAATTATTTTCTTTGTTCAGTTAACGGAAAGTCATTATTAGGTAGAATTTGAATTCATATGAACCTTCACCATGTGAAAAGTTTGCTATTTGTTTGAATTATAGGACTAAATGTGCAAGTTTCTAAAATCGAAAATGTCATCTTTGCTTAGTTTAGAAGAGAAAATAAGATAACAAAAAGATCAAACATCTTGGTAAATATGAACTTAGGAGGAGGAGTCTCCAAAAAGTTTCAGGATGCAAAGTCTTTATGATCATAAATGAGAAGGGAGGAAATTTAGTTATTATTTATTCATGTGTTTGTTTAAGAAATATTTTTTGAAAAACTTTTTAAGTACCTGGCACTGTGGTAAATGCACTGGGGACAGAGTTGTATAAAATAGCCCCTGCCTCCAAGAAGCTTCAAGAAGCAGATGAGGAAGACCACAGGGTAGAAAATGTTTCACTGGGCGCCTGGGTGGCTCAGTTGGTTAGGCGACTGCCTTCGGCTCAGGTCATGATCCTGGAGTCCCTGAATCGAGTCCCACATCGGGCTCCCTGCTCAGCAGGGAGTCTGCTTCTCCCTCTGACCCTCTTCCCTCTCGTGCTATCTCTCATTCTCTCTCTCAAATAAATGAATAAAATCTTTAAAAAAAAAAAAGAAAATGTTTCATTAATAAGCAGAAATAGGATGTTGTGGGAACATCATGGGAGGGAAACCATGAGTCAAAAGAAAAAAGAAACAAACTGAAGAGAGACATAAAAGAGACTACTCAGAAAAAGCAAAACCAATTTTAATAAAGAAAATGTCCTTCTAAAATCAAACACATTTAATACTTTCACAATACACCAAAGTTATATCTTGTTCTTTAAAATATCTTTGCTCCAAATGATTCTGAGGCTCAATCACAATTACAGAATACATAAAATTAAGTATATTAACATGACACAACCACTTAGTACTCTATAAAGTACATTATAAGACTCCACAAGGCACACAGTTGATGCAAGTTAATATGGGCTATATCAATTGTTCTCAGTTTTCAGGTATTTAGCCCTGCTAGCCAGGGTGCACATTCTTTTAACAGTATACTTTGGTGTCCTTCTTTGAAGAATGGACATTGAAAAAGTTAAAAATGAGTTACTATGTAGGCACTGATGTATGGAAAATACACTTTGTGTTTTTATATATTATAAGCTGGAAATGCCTTTTGAGTCACATATAGATTTATGCTAGAAAGCTTGACAAACACTGAACAGTCTGTGAAGAATGGAAAACCGCTGGACCAACAATTCAGATGAATATAATTCAACTATTTGCTGCAATACTGATTTGCTTTTTAAATTAATTGCTCTGAAATCCTTTGTTGTCAGGTACCAAAATAGTTTTGAAGTTAGAGAACTGCTTTCCCACTTAATTCTTGTGGGTGGCCCAATTCCTCATGATATTCACAGCTGAGAAATATGTTTTATGCATTTTCATCTCAAGTGATAATCAGGAGCAAATTAAATCCTGTCTTAAATCTTAAAAGAAAAATGCAAACCACTCCTCAGTGACTTCAGACTGTAGGTCTGCAAGACATAGGCTTAGCTCCACATCTTGAATGCTGCTTTTGCACGCTGTCCCCTCTGTAACAGACTAAAATATGTCTATCATTACATCAGGATTGCCCAACATAATGACCATCTAATCAACCCAGGACGCCTGACCTAATGAGTTTCAGATGTAGTGCTTCTAAAGTCAGTCAGTAGTAATACTCTAAAGAAACTTAATTCCAACAAATTGAATATAAAAGTCTTCATATTATATGCAGAAGTTTACAAAAAGCACTTCAAGGATATCTGGTCAAAACTATTGCCCGGAAGATTCCAAAGCCCATACATTTTGTCCCAGTGTAATTAGACAGCTACAATAAAAGCAGTAAAAAGCAAGACAAGCAAATCTTGGTCTTTCTTAAATGAGTACAACCTCATTCCCTTGGGGGAACAGGTAACAAAAGGATGTTGCCGGTTGTGCTTGTTTTTAGACAGATATCATCTGGAACCATATGCTACAGGAGTTTCAGATTTTTTCATTATCATCATTGTTGATTTTCTTAAATGCGACTGGGCTTGCTTGTTTCAAAGACGTCTTGGAAACATCTGTGTGCATGGTGGACATGGCTATTGTCTCATAGTCATCATCCCGAGACCGGAAATCACAAAAGCTAAAGAAGAACTGCAAGTCTCTCTGGAAATTTTTGTTCAGAAATCCGTAAAATATGGGGTTGACACAAGTGGATATCATTGCTGTAAGGTGGCACAGCAGGAATAATAGATTATGGTTACACGTTGCAATGATCTGATGATTCCAATCAAACACAGTGTTAAAGATGGTAAGGGGCAGCCAGCAGACCGCGAACGCCACCACAATGGACAAAAGCATGATGTTGATTCTTTTGGTTTCACTGGACCTGTACTTATTATCTCTCATCTTGTCCATCATGTTGTTTCTCCTTTTTAAGCGTATGTATATCTACAGAGAGAGAGAAAAAAAAAAGTTCAACTAGAACCACTAATTTAATGTGGAAACTGTGGAAAGAAGGTTAAAATGGAAATGGTAGGGGGAAATGTTTTCTTACCTTGAAGTAGCAAATAAATATAAAACAGAGTGGGCCAAAATACTGCAGCATCAAGAGGAGAGTTGTATAAGACAGCCTGTGGGAGTCTGATGGAAATTTATCAAAGCACACGTATTTGTCCTTGAACGCGTCAAGTGTTACATTCTGGAACGGCTCATCGGTCAATACTTGATAGATGAGGAAAGGTAGGGAAGAAACCACAGCAAGGACCCAGATGACCGCAATACCTATGTAAGCGTGTCTGTTACTTGGTCGCCACCCTCGTGGGTTGATTATCAGCTGATGGCGCTCCACAGCAATGAGAACCAGAGAGAAAATGGACACGGTGATTGAAACGCATTGCACAAAAGGATTCAGTTTGCACATCGCCTCGCCAAAAACCCAGTGGTCCATTAATGTGTAGACAAATGTGAAGGGGAGACACATGATGGCAACAAGCAAGTCTGAGAAGGAAAGGTTCACAATCAGGATATTGGTAACATTTCTCATCTCCTTTTGTTTCAAGATGATTATAATCAAGGCCAGGTTTCCAGAGACCCCGAGAATTATTACAGCTCCATAAGCAAGAGCTAATGTAAATATCATGGCCAAGGGCAGATGACAATCATCGCTTTCAAAAGCCAAAAACTGGGAATTCTCTGAAAAATTACAGAAGATTGAATGGTTTTCAACCTGGGAAAATAATGTTGAATTCATTTTGATTGGTTTGGTGATTATAGATTACTCTAGACAAATGGAAAATATGTTTCTTCAAAGCAGATCAAATGTTCAGCTTATTCTTAACTCTCCATATTGCAATCCATTTATCAAAATTACTCTGAATTCTTCATTCTCTGGAACTGAACAATCTGTAAAGAGAAAATGACCAATGGCATTACTAATTTTATTGAGGGCTGTCAAAATGAATTCTGACTCATAGTACTGTTTTAAGTGAAGACCTTGAAATAAATAAACAAAATGTAATCTGTATAAACATCTTTTTAAAGTAGTAGAAACAGTGCAAACATTTTGAAAAAAAAAACTCTTCTAATATTTTTAACTGGACTTGCAATTTTGTCTGTAAATTAGTAAGGTGTGCCTAAATCTCATGCCCAAAGTCTTATATATGTCTTATATAAACCACTGTCAACAGATTCCTAAACACTGTAAAAATATGAATGTCTAACAAAAAATTTAATGCACAGATTAACACATAAGATATGAAACAAAGAAAAACAACAACAATTTCCCTAATTCTTCCTCCTACTAAGGAAATGAACTAATTCATTAAGTTGTACTAATAGCTCCACCATATACTGACCTGCTCTTTAAGGCAGACATTATTTAGCACAAGGATATTCAAAAGAGGATGATCAATACAGTGAAACATCAACAACCTTTGTCATACGAAGGACGGTGGAAGGCACAGAAGACGTTGAATCCAGAAAAGACTAGGAATGGTATAGATGTCTTCTCATATTTGAATGGGTAGCATGTGCCATAGGGAACCGGGCTTAAAATATTATATCTAACTATACAAGTTAGAAATAGGACCAGGGGAAGTATAGTACAGTGTATATTACAAACAAAACAAAACAAATTTCACATCGTTATGAGGAACAAAAGTTTAATCAAATGAAATCAACTGCTTGCAAAACTATGGAGTGCTCCATACACAAAAGTTTGCAGCTATTACATGAAAGCGTTTTGGGGAGCTCTTGCATTGTGTAGGAGACTTAAGTGGCTATAACTGAAGTTCCTTCTAACTTTAAGGATTTTATTAATATGTCACAAGCTTTCAAAGGATTTCTAAGGTTTTTATATATGTAAATGTCCTTCCTCCCCACTAGACTGTATACTGATAAAATGCAGGGACCTACATTTTTGAGGTAATTTTGATCTTTCACAGCATTTTGTGATATAAAGACTCTTTTCTTACCAAAAAGAGAAATTAGACAGTGGTATTTTTAGAGATTAAAAGCTCCTTTGAAAAAAATCTGATTTCCTCTAGATTGCTAAATAAATATATGAGATTCAGGGTTTCTTATGTTAATTAACAGGCCATTGTGCCTGTGTTAAGGAAGGGAATTGCATTTATTTCTTTTTTATGGGAGAATAAAGAAAATCATGCAGATTGACTTCTATTTCAAAGGAGATAAGAAATTTAATGAACATTTGCCTTTTGAGTGGCACCTCTAATGAACCTTTCCTTGAGTGTTTTTGCTTTCTAGAATATGAGGGTTTTTTTTTTTTTATTATAAAACCACACCTTGGCTTGATAAAACTGAAGAATAAAAATAAAGGTTTCTAACATTCAGTGAGAATGGAAGAATTAAGACTAGGAATGATTTCAAGTGTGAACGTTTTTAGAAGTATGGCTCTCCTTTCCTCTGTGCAACAATCAATACACAATGGCTCGTGGACTCATGCAGCCATCACCCTTTATCTCTCAAGAATGCCAATGGCAGGGGGCGCCTAGGTGGCTCAGTCGATTAAGCATCTGCCTTCGGCTCAGGTCATGATCCCAGGGTCCTGGGATTGAGTCCCGCATCAGGCTCCTTGTTCAGCGGGCAGCCTGCTTCTCCCTCTGCCTGTCACGCAACGCCCCCCCCCCGCCGCTTGTGCTCTCTCTCTCTCTGACAAATAAATAAAATCTTAAAAAAAAAAAGAATGCCAAAGGCAGAGAGAATAATCTCTGTCTCTTAGTGTCTGAGAACAAACCTTGAAGAAGTAATAATCTAATATTTCTTTGCAAATTCCTCACTGAAGAATTCAAGAAAATGTGTGCATCATACTTCATATGCATGTGGCTGTCAAGGCATTCAACATGACTTACTAGTTAATTGTGAGTTTCTCTTCACTATTTATTTTTTTTAAAGATTGTATTTATTTATTTGAGAGAGAGAATGAGAGAGAGAGAGAGAGAGAGCACATGAGAGGGGGGAGGGTCAGAGGGAGAAGCAGACTCACTGCTGAGCAGGGAGCCCGATGCGGGACTCGATCCCAGGACTCCAGGATCATGACCTGAGCCGAAGGCAATCGCTCAACCAACTGAGCCACCCAGGCGCCCATTTCTTCACTATGTAAAGTCTAACTAGCTTGGTAGGGAAGTGCATCCTCTTTACCCTATGACTTCTCACTAGGCACCACCAGATGAGCAAGTATCCTGGGATAAGACACTATGAGTACATTCTTCAGCCTGACGCTTGAATACCTCTACATTTTGCTTCCCTTCGCCTTTCACTCTTTGCTCCAATAGCCTCATTGTGAATGTTCTGTTCCAGGTGGGCCAGTCTCTCCCCAGCCCACCAAGTGCCCCCCAGCCTGTTTTACTTTCTGCATTCATCTGTCTCTGCCATTGCTCTTGTTGGGTGTTCTGTCACATCACCAATTCAAATGCTACCCGTCTTTCAAAACACCATTCAGTGCACTTGAATCCTTAACTGGCTCCTTCCAATTATGATATAATCTTTTTAAGGTAGGTAGTGTATATACCTCATAGCACCTTGCAAATACTAGATTTAGAACAAAAATGTGTTGACTGACATAGTAGGCGCACGGTTGGAATAGTAGGTTCTAACGCCAATAACTGAATTCTGTCATAGTCCTTTTACATAAGGACTTTTACAAAAGGACTTCTTTTCTCCAGTCCTTTTACATGCAAGATGGATGCCAATTACAAAACTCATTTTATTAGGTCAGGAACATTAGGGGGAAATGTTCCATTTTTGTGTTTAAAAAATGAATTGTTTCTGAAAGAAAATTCATTCATCCAATAAATATTTATTGAACACTCAGTTTGTGTCAGGCATGGTTTTAGGGGAGACAATGGTGACCTTCTCTTTGAGTTTCCAGTCTTGTGAACAAAGAAAACCAAGAAAAAATAAATTGGTAAAAACGATAGTATGCCAGATGATAGGTATTATACAGAAAAATAAAGCAAAGAAGGGGAGCTCGGGTGGTTGGGAGTTGCACTTTATTACTGGGTGGTGAGGAAGGCCTCTCCTTGCCTGAAAACATGGCATAGGATCTAAGACCTGAAAGTGGTGAGTGAGAAAAGCCATGTAGATATGTCAGGGACTGCATCCCATGTGGAAAGAATGAACGTAAAACCCTTCAGGCTGGAGTGTACCTGGTGTACCAAACAGCAATGAGAAGTGCAATAAATAAGAGACAGACTGGTAGAAAATTACTTAGAAAGGGTAAGCAGAAGAGGAACAGATTATGTAAGACCTTATTCCATGGGACAGTTTGACTTTTTCTCTGAGGAAGGTGAGGAATCACTGGAGAGTCTTTGGTAAAGACATGAAGTTAGATGGCTTGTTTTAAATTATTACTTGAGTGGCTGTTTTCAACAGTCTTAAGATAGGAAAGAGAAGAAGTAGGGAGATTCATTAAGAGGCTAATACAATAATCCAGATTAGAGATAACAGAGGCATAGACTAAGGTGTCTACAGTGGAAAGGAAGAAAAATAGAAATTTTAAATCCATTGACTTATTTTGACAAAATTCAATCCATGATACAGTGTGTGGACTACAAAGGCAGTTTCTTGCAGAGGGTTTTAGGTGAATACTGAAATTCAACTCTGATACCTTTGAAATTATATTTGATGGACATACTCTGGTAAGGAATAGTGGTCTTTCCACTAAGTAGGTATTAACTTAGCTATACAGAAAATGTAAACTATTTTTTTAAGTGTTTGCAAAGCCTCCTTTTTTAAGTGCATGTTCGGTAGTCATTCCAGTTTGGTAAAACAGTTCTGCGTTGGATAAAATGTGTATTTTCAGCCTACCTTAGTATAACTTCAAGAAAGAATAGTAGTCAGAAAATAATACTAAGAAAGAATTTACATACATTATCTTTGCAAAAGAAAATAATTTGATATTTACTATCCCAATAGTTAAAATAAGATATGCAACAACAGACATTGCAAAAATTAAAGGTTGTTAAATCTCAATATAGCTGTCATGAGCAATTAAGAAACAAAATAGAGATACTACATACATCACCAGTTGGAAACTTGGCCCCCTTCCAAAGGGAAATTTCCTTCTCCTTTCCAATGACCTTTCCAATGGCCTTCCACTGCTTGCCGTTCTTAGTGCTGTTACTATCTGAAAATACAAGAAAGAAAAAGTAAAAAGAAATGTCAAAACACACTCCCTCTTTGCCTTCCCCTAGGCTTTTCTGTGCTCCAGCAGTTACCAAAGAATGAAATGGCATGGTTAAACCAAAATTCCTATTGGCTCGCTTACGTGCCCACCTTTTTCATATTGTGTAACTGGGTGAATTGCCCCCAATTTTCCTCATCCCTAATCTTCCCATCCCCCCGCCCCCCACACACACCCGTTTGCCACCCATCTATCAAGGCACATCTCTACCCGTGACGATGAGACTGGCAAACAAAACATCCAAACCCAAACCAACCCAAAATAAAAAAGAAGCAGAACCCAAACTCAGTTCTCTGTGGACTAACATCAGTTCTTAAAACATTCGCCTCTCTCCAGTCTACCTGGAGACCAATGGAACACTCTTAAGCTACCTGTACCTCCAGTCCATGCCCAATCTCCTAAACCTGCCAGGTTCCATCATCGCTGTTCTAAAAGGAGCTAAAGATTTCGATGATTGAAACTCGGAAATAAAAGGATAGGGCTTAGGGTGTCTACCAGCCCCAGTGACAGACTGGAAGTGTCAGCACCGAGGGAGAGGGGCTCCATTC